GCTGACTGATTCAGCTTCTCGTTTCGATTGACAATTGGTTTTTAAATGCCACCTAAAAATTGCGTTGATTTCTACGGGGTTGATTTTCTAACATACTATATAGGATCAAAGGATACGCAACAAACTACGTGATTAACTAACTAGCCCTGAAGTGTGTCACCACAGAAACTACAAGAATCTTATTCCTGGTGATAAACCTACAGGGTAAGTTCTTGTAAATTGTAACTGGGATGTCCCGAATCGATATATCAAGCACTGCTAGGTGTACCCTGCAGTCTTGTGGGCATTAGATAACGGATTAACACCGTGTGAGTTTTGGGGCTCCATTATGGGTTTGGAAAAAAAAGAGGAGGGGGAAGGGAGAAGGGTTCCCAAACAAGCAGTCCGTAATATGCGGCTAATCTATAGAGTTTACTCTGCAGCGGGACACAAAACTGAACTTTTGAAATCAGACCAAAATACGGCAGTGGACGAGCAACCAGAATATTTCGCTGGATATTACAGACTGCGAACGGTAAGAATAAAAAAGGTAAGATGACCGTTTCTACCGTTGGTAATAGATTTTAAGCAGCAATCTGATGAGTTTTCCTGTTGCTATATTTAATCTAGATCGTTACTTGTAGCTGGAACCTAAAACACACAACAGACAATACAAACCTCTGGAAGAACCTTTCTCTGCAATACAGCACTCAATCAGCAGTATGGTGTCTATTTTATTGTTTGCTCTATTTATAGCGATATTCTGACTTCAATAATGAAAGATATAATACACAATGAAATGCATTTATTCTGAAAGTAACAATAGTTTGTGCTGATGATTGTTATAAATTTTCACTTGAATTAATGCACGCTCATTAAAGAGGGTGTATGTTTGCATCACTGTAGATTCGATAGCACTGATGTAAATATCACGTTACAATGAAAGTGTTGAAATAGTTGAATGTTTACCTGTATGGTCGTCCTGGGTAACATAGCGCGATAAACATTATTGTATGAGCCACAACCTGTCGCAATAATTAGTAGAATGTTGTTGTTATTTTTGAAGTGGTCAGAAAAAGGTCAGTCCCTGTTTTATAGCCAATGCCATCTTCTAAACGCATGTTGACAACAGTATATCTCCAATACTTTTTGTCTCCTGCGTAAATTTCCAGGCCATGTTAGAATTGTTGCTGATTAGGCTCGCAATGTTATTCTCCTGCTTATGTCGATTTCTATTTCTCGTTCGCCTAGCATGAACGTTTATCTCCCATCTTTACTGCTTGTGTTAACATTTATAAATCTGTACAGGACCACGGAAAAGTGGGGGGGGGGGGGGGGGGGGGGGGGGGGTGGGAAGAGGAGAATCGATGGGGCATTGAGCCTAACGTTGTAAGGCCTAGTGGCCAGTGCAATTGCCATGAACTGTGCTCGATAAGATGTTTAATTTTGCACTTGACTTGAAGAATACTCTCCATTTCTTACCGAAGATCGAACCTGGGTCTCCCGCATGAGATCCCAGTGCCCTAGCCATTGGGCAGTTAATAAAATGGGCAGTACGAAGATATGCTAGTTAACTCATACTAGCTACGTTAAGGACAGGTTAAACATCCACACTGAATAGATTATATCTGCTGGAAACAATACTTTCTATTGGTTCATACTAGTTCATGACTGAACGATATTAATACTGGTGGCTAAAATCAACATATTTTCACAGAGATTGATTAAAAATGTCATATTTTATGCGGAAAATAGACAAATGTCTACTCAACATTTACCAAGATATTTCAAAAACTAAAAGAAAAAAAAAATGGCTTAATGAAAATTTGCACATAAATTTAGCATGATATGTCAAACTCTATAAACTAAAAACTATTAACTTAAAGTTATGGTTAAAGAGCTATGTTTATTTATGTGGTACTTAACTGTTGTTTTTTGTTTCAAAAAAATACAGGTATGGGTTATCATAAATGACAAAAATTCATAGAGTATTCAAGCTGCTGAATTCATTCTAGTGCAATCTGTTGCTATGTTATTTTCCAAAGTGTGTGCCAAGTTTGGAGACAATATGTTAATAACTTGTTGATATATTGGGTGCACAACGCAGTTAAAAAAAAAAGTTAATTTGAGAAAATCGCGAACAAGTAACCCACCAAACTGGCTTTCACAAACATCCTGTACCTAATAAGTCCCTGTTGCTTTTCAGTCATCATTGGGGTTTTCCTCGCCTGTCTGAATGTTGTGTTGCAAACACCGCCATTGAGTGGGTGATGAAAAAATGTTGTGTTGCAAACACCGCCATTGAGTGGGTGATGAAAAAATTTTGTGTTGCAAACATCGCCATTGAGTGGGTGATGAAAAAAATGTTGTGTTGCAAACACCTCCATTGAGTGGGTGATGAAAAAATGTTGTGTTGCAAACACCGCCATTGAGTGGGTGATGAAAAAATGTTGTGTTGCAAACATCGCCATTGAGTGGGTGATTAAAAAAATGTTGTGTTGCAAACACCTCCATTAAGTGGGTGATGAAAAAATGTTGTGTTGCAAACACCGCCATTGAGTGGGTGATGAAAAAATGTTGTGTTGCAAACACCGCCATTGAGTGGGTGATGAAAAAATGTTGTGTTGCAAACACCGCCATTGAGTGGGTGATGAAAAAATTTTGTGTTGCAAACACCGCCATTGAGTGGG